ACCGGACGTAGAAACGGCGGTGATTATCTTGGCGTAAAAATGATAAGTTTATTTTACATTTAATTCACGCGTATTTCTATCATTTTATCATTCTATCATTATATGCACCGCGCAAATAAAAAATTTCAAATTAAACCTAACGCGATTATTATTTCGTATGCTGTGTAAAATTCTTTCGTTTCAACACGTATATTTTTTTTATATTGCGCGGAAACACAGTCTTAAACAATTCTCGGAATTGTAAATTATCTCTATCCATCGATCTATAATTTATACGACATTATAGGCGACCTTTTTAAATGGGGACATAATACCATTGTTATGCACACACTGGCTTTGGTCTCGACAAACAAATTCCTCGGCTCTCTGTCCATCTCACTTCCTCTCATTTCGAGGATCACGAGGGGGTCGGAAGGGGATACAATTCCGTCATTCGGCGTGTCGCTAGCGCGCGCGTAATGACAGCCAGCGCCGCGAATTAGAGCCGGTGGGCGTAAGGGTGGGCGCAATACAATATAATATTCGGAGCGATATAAAATTACGGATAATTGCTTGATTGGCCCCGGCAGATGGGTGTAATTTAGAATATCCGCCGCTTGCGCGCGCTCGCCGACTAATCAATTACGAAATGTTTCGAGGGCCGACCGCGGCTAATAAGATTTACGATTGGCCGAGATCGGTTCCTTCTTCGCTCGTGTTTCCACGATCGTTTCCTCCGTTCCCTCCCTCTCCCTCCCACCCTTCCTCTCCGTTGACCCCTCTCCGGCATATATCCGTTTCGTAAATTACGGGTTCGGACGCGGCTAAACAGCTGCAACGCGGTCTCGCCAATCTCGCTTCTTTGGCGCGTTTGCGGTTAACGACTTTAAACCCAGTTTCGGACGAAACAAACGATATTTCTAACGCGTGTTTCTAACGAGCGCAGACATTTCGCCGAGAAATCTCCGCGAGATTGGAACGGTAAGTATTATAACAGAGTCGGAATGTGTCCGGCAAAAAGTCCATAAAGAATTGATAAAACAGTTCTTACTAAAATGAGATGTCGACATATATATATATATATACTATTACATTTTAGACATATATATACCTCCGATAACCTATATTAGTATCCTACAATTTTATGTTAAAAATATGAATAACTCGTTTGAAGTCCGATATTACCTATTATGTATATGTGCAATTGTCATAGAATATAAATAAATCTCCAAATTAAACGACCACAATTAAGATGGTCCTTTTGTCTATTGATTATCGCGTCCCATTCATTTTTCAATTTTCAATTTTCAAATACTTCAATCGAGTCAATCGATGCAATCGGATTGAACTGTATAAAGCCAGCCGGGAGCTAACCGGAGAATGAGATATTACCTACCTTCTAGCGCCAAACATCGCTTTATATGAAATGATGCCGGACTAATGGATAAAAAGGGGCGCAAAAAAAAGGAGGAGGTAATATTTGCGATCTACATAATTCTCGCTCT